TAAAAAACTGACAGGCAATGCTAAATGATTGGTTCTGGTTGCAAGCGGGAGAGGATGAGGGCAGAGAGGAGGTGCGGTTGATTTGGGGCTGGGTTTAGTAAACTTAAGCAAATGAAATGCCTTGGAATATGCCGAGCTGGTGCTCTTAAGCGACTTAAGGCAGCCCCAGCAGCAATGAAAATTGTCTTTAAACTGGCGACACACAGCCAAACAGCAATAAAAGCTGTGGGGTTGTTACGATTGCGTGTGTGTGTGTGTGTGTGGGAATAAGGATATAAGTGATGCAGAGCGAGGGCGGCTTGACTATGGAGCTACAGCAAATTTACATATTTTAAATAACTTGTGGGGCTCACTAAAGAGACTCGGGGCTCTGGGCTGACAATGGCGACGCCAAGACAACTCCAATTTATTTGCAATTTGTTTGAAATTTATATCAAAGGCATTCAGAGACACACACGCCCACTCACACACACACTCACACACACAATGACAATCACAATCATACGCAGGCACACTCCCCATGCTCTCATAATTGCACTCATAAAATGCGAACAGCTCAGCGCCTCGATATTTATGCATATCTAACTGCACACACAGACAAACAAACAAATTATGTACTCATTTGAATAGACATTCTAATGCGAATCACGTTGACAAAAATTCATTGAAGTGTGCTGCACACACACATTGAGGAGAGTGAGTGAGAGAGGGAGGGAGGGGGAGAGGGAGAGGCACAGTCATTGCCCAATTCGAGCTACCTTGACTTTCGAACTGTTTCGCCGTCATCCAATCAAGTAGCATAGAGTCATGCTGCTCTAGGTGGATGTGTGTTGGTGTAACAAGGACACAACTTACTTTGGCACACGCACACGCACACACACTTGCACGTGGGCAAAGCCGATACCCAGTTAATCTATCAGGACATGGCACAATGTGTAGAAAATTAAATGTGCGCCCCTCCAGCGGGGCAGCAAGTCATGTGTGCGGCTGTCCTTCGAGCTCTTTATGCCTGCGTCTGTGTATGTGTGTTTGTGTGTGTGTTTGGTAGTGTGTGTAATGTAAATGCAAACTAAATACACAACAGGCTGAGCATTAAGTCGATTGCTTCAAGGACCTTAACGCGCACCAATCTCTCCCTCTCTCTCTCTCTCTCTCTCTTCCACACCCACAATTCCTGCCAGCAACAGCTCCAGCTCCAGCTCCTGCTCCAGCTCTTGCTCCGACTTCAGCTTCAGCTTGGCGCTTTGTCATTACCTCTGGCAGACAAAACCCCTGCCAGAGACTTCGGCTCATGTGTTGTCTGCAGCTCCCACTCACTTAATTCTCGCTTTTGCTGCCACTTGAAGTGTAAATGAGTGGCTCACTACCCACCCTACCCTACCCCCACCACCACTACCCCGACCCATCACTCTCTATCTATGGTGTGTGTAAACGCTGAGGCTGCTTTTTAATAAGCAATTTACTTTTAGCTTAACAACGCTCAAGTGCCGCCGCCTGTAATGAAATACGCGGACGGGCCTAAGCAGACAGCTTACAAGCATACAATTACATACATATACAATGTATATATGCACACATATATACATCTCACACTTTTTATATAGAACGAACCTGCAATGATTTTCCTCTCGCACTGTTTGCCAACGATAATTAATTTTTTGGCCCGTTTGCGCCCAAGTTAAGACCTTCAGTTTTTTATTCATTAAAAATAAATTAGAATGTTTCTATTTACTTATGCATGTACGTATATATGCGACACACACTGTGAACCTTGTCAGCCAGCTTCATGTGTCCCGCTGTTGTCTTTGGCGAGAGTCTTTGCCAAATTACTCACAAGTACTTAAATCCTCATTTTCCTCTAGCTCCATCGATTTTATTTTCCCTTTGTCTATACAAAATTAACAAAGATTTTTTACTGCAATTAAATTGTTGCTGTTTATGAAAATTTACTATATTAACTAAGCTTTTTTTAATAATTCTATTCTATCTCGAAATTAAATAAGTAATATTTCTTGGAAAGAATTTAATATTCAAAAATGATTTAATAATTTAATGCATCACAATTTTGTCAGCTGAGGAATGTGATATGCCGGAATAGATGAGGATTTCCAGGAAAATGCTTCATGTCGAAAATCTGCTTTTGTTTTCATAATACTTTGATCAAAATTCGAGGTAAACGCAATGATGTTCTCTATGAAAATCATATTTTTATATGCAAATTTTATATAAAATAAAAAATAAAAGAAAATTAAATGGTAAAGACATAATTCATTTAATAGAGTAATTATACATATTTGTATTATATATAAAAAATTTATTGTATTTATATTTAATAATAAATAATAAATGATTTTACAAAAAAATAAATAAATAAATAAATAAATTAAAAAAAAAAAATAATAATAATAATAATATTAATAAAATAATAATTGTGTATATAAATTTACAACTATAAATATTATACAAAACCAAATATTTTTTTTTTTTTTATAAAAATTATTTTTAATATTAAAGTTAAACAAAAAATATGGTATTACCAAAAAATAATTAATTTGCAGCTGAGCTGAGCTTAAGACGATAAATCTTTATCTTCCACTAATAAACTTATTTGAGTTTAAATATATTGAAAAAGCTAATCCTTTCAATGAACACTTTACCTCTGTTGCTTATATAAAATAAGTTTCAAAACTAAATTTATTTTTACAATGCTATCCAAACTTGGGCATAGAAATAAATTGAGACCCAGGCAATGATTGTATCTAACATAAAAATAGCCAAAAGAACGCAAGTAACATAAGAGAAGAACACGAGTGGTGGAATATTTTGTGTACACATAATAAAAAGCTTTCAATGACTGGAAGTAGCTCGGGATGCCCATGTGAGCCTTTAATTCAAAGCAATAATCTAAATTAAATCTTTAACATATAAAAGGTCTAGTAGAGTCCATAGAAATCTATGATTATAAATTCATATCTCATAAGTCATCTCTCCCTCATGCTGGCTTCATTTACTTAGGCTCTCTATTTATAGTCTCAGACACAGAAACCCGTTGAGGCAGCTTATGCAAAGTCTGCTGAAAATAGAGGCTCCTAGCTCAGCCTGCTTATTGCTGTTAATCCCAAATGCCGTTGATGTTAAGCAATAAAAATTAAATTCATGAGCCAAAGAGGAACAAAATATTTGTTGTATTTAAAAACTTAAAACAGAAAAAAAATAAAAAAATTAAACAAGTTTACCATAAAATAAAATAAAAATATGAAATTATTTTGCAGAGTCAGAGCCTGTTTCTAGGCCAGCTGAGCCTGAAGTATATCAGAGTGAAACAAGTTGGTGGAAATCATTTGAAGTTGGTTTTTATTGCCGTTGTCCTGGCTTTAATAAAATGTGGCCACATTTGAGCACCTGCTGTGCCCGCAGGCACTTGGATATGGTTTTGTTTGTTGTTCTTGTTAGGCAGGTGGGCTCATAGCTTTTGTCCAGTGGCAGTCTGGTAGTCTGGCCGTGTGGCACTCTGGCAGTCAGTTGTCAGGAGCGTTGACAAAAAGTGTGTACTTCATTTTGATATGGCCACAATTGCGGCGTTAACATGGCAGCCATGTTTAAGCTGTTCATAAATCAAATTGGCTTTTATCGTGCTGGCCATTTGTCAGTGCACCTTTTACATGGTCAACGCTTTTCAGCCGCAATTTCCATTGCCGTTGATTAAATAAACCAAAATCGAAATTCTGTTTGGGCTTGCGCTGCCGAGGCGCCAGTACATAAATATTATTTTCGTAAATCTCAATGAAATATGGCCAGACAACTTTGACGAATGGCTATGCGCTGCCCCAGCACATATGCATACGGAATGTTCATAAATAAATAAATGAATTAAATGCCCCAAAATACGTAGAACAGAGCACAGCCTACGGGCCAGGTGCAGGCCAAATAGTAGACAGACGGCCATTTATGACAGACCCAAATGAAAGCCAACACCAGCACCAGATCCAAAATGGAATAAATGCACGAAAAAAAAAAAAGGAACAAAAAAATTAAAAGTCACTTCAAAGCAACAGACGCAGCTTCTGATTTGCATATTTAATGCCATTTGCATAAAGCAAACATAACAAACACCCCATACCCTACCCTAGCCACCTTTCGCTAAATAAATGGGAATTCTAAAAGGTTTCGATCAAGATGGCTCAAAAGGCGAAATAAATTAGCATAAGCTTAAGATAATTATTAGATAAAATGACAACAAATTTTGGAATAAATGTAATTAAACATCAAATATAATTACTACACCAAAATATTTATAAAAATGTATATTCAAAATATTAAGTAAAATTATGATAAAAACAAAAATAAATATGTATATATAAAATAAAATAAAAAAAAAATGATTATAAAAAAAGAAAAAAAAATATTATATATAAATACTACATATACAAATTTATTATAAATAGCTAATAATTTAATTTGGCAATAATGTATAAATTATTTTCAAAAATATATTTAAAATAAATAATTGTATTTTGAATATTAAAAATATACTACTATTAAATTTTCTTAATTTTCAATACAATTGAAATACATATTTTTTAAAGTTTCACATTTAGAAATAATAAATTTAGTTTTAATTTAGTTTATATAATCTTTAATCTTATTCATTTATTTATTTGGCAATAAAATCAACACATTAAATTTGCAATTTATTTCTTTCTTTCGGAAAGATTAAAATATATATATTATAAAAAATAAAATAATATAAATTTAATAGGCACTACACGTCGGAATAGGTCACTCATGTTCTCGTTTATTATTATAAAGGCGAAAGTCGAAACATTTTATTTCTATTAAAATATATTTTATTCTGCTTGAAGTGAAAGAAAACTCTAGTATTTCAGCAAATATTTTGAAAAAAAAGCAGTATTCACCCCTTTTACGGGGTATTTCACAGTTGATCTCACAGAGCTTGTTAATTTAAACTTTCGAATTGCTGCAGAGAAATTCGTACATACCTTTATCGCTTTAATCAGACTCGGCGTTGGGTTCCGTTTGCGACCTGCAATGAAAAAATGCAGAGCACAAAAAACGGGTTTCATATTAGAAATGTTTATAACTTTTCCTTATTCACAGCTTCATAAGAGACAAAAGCGGCAAGCGAACAAAAAAAATGTTGTTTTTTTTTTTTTTTTTTTTTGTATTTTTGGAATTGTAAAGTGAACAATATGCAAATATGTGCTCGGGATGCTAACGGAATTTAAATTTTTAGCTAAGCCCCAAAATATGCCCAGGCTGACCCTTTGTATGACGCATTTCGGGCTGAGGACACGGCACCAAAAGCACAAAAAAAAATAGAAGAAGAAGAACGACAATAAAATTAAATATTCTATTTAATGGCATTCGCCGTATGCCAACTAAGGACAGTTGAAGGAGTCGTGTAGACGTGGCTCGTGTAAATTTTCTGCGCTTTGAAATTGAAGTCCTAAGAGTAACTTTTGTTTCACACTAAGTCTATCAATTGGCTTCATGGAACTCTTCGAGTAACTCATCCTGGCGTGTGTGACTCCTTTGGCAGGTATTAAATTTAACACGCCTATCTTTGATATACGCATAGAGAGAGAGAGAGAGAGAGAGAGAGAGAGAGAGAGAGAGAGAGAGAGAGAGAGAGAGAGAGAGAGAGAGAGAGAGAGAGAGAGAGAGAGGAGGACAGTTAGAGATAGAGTGTGAGTCGAGCAAATTGCATTCGCATTATATCAATTTTATTGCCGAGCCCGGCTATAATTCTCATGTCCCCGCCAGGAGCATGCAAATAAAATGTATAAAAAACGAGATTTTATTGACGGCCTCGAGTTTGGTTCGGCAGCATTTGCCCTTTTTATTCTAATTTCGTGGCCCGGCTTGTTGTTTGGGCTTATCTGCTCTCCACTTGCCCATCGAGCGCAAGGGAAACGCAATTTCGTCTCCCTTTGTTTCATATAAATTAAGCAGATTATATGTAGTCAGATAGCACTCAGTGTGTGTGTGAGTGTGTGTGTGTATAAAAACTGGCAAAGCAGATTGCAAAATCAAGAAAGTAACTTTAAAAGGCACTCAGAAGAGCACACGGGCCGTTGAAAAGACGCCGCAATCGATGACACAAATAATACCTCAATTAAGCCAACCCAAAAAAGAAAAATGAAAAATGATGAAAAAGTAAAAGAAAAGCAAAGAAACCAAATTACGCTTGGGCAGCACAATTCGAAAATTGTGTAGAGCGCAAAACATAATGGAAAACAAGCAACATTTTGTCGAGTATTTTCAGTGCGCCGCAATTTATGCCACAATATTCGACTCAATAGATATTTAATACTCAGTAATTTCTGCAGAAATAGCAAGTAATCGTGTGCTAGGCTGGATAGCCCGACTGCCAGATACCCTGCCTACTACAGAGAACTCTAATATCAAGTACTTTAAGTTCCTTTTGTACATATACAGTAGACAAAACATGCACACACACACACATGCAGGCACATAGGCACATCCTGCTCTTAGGCTTTGATAGGTTTCTTTATCGAAATGAAATGATTCGTTCTGTAACTACTGTTCTATTGCGACTATTTTTGAATAATGACGACTATACCTATGTATTTCTCTATCTGTATACCTATCTATATAGACTTATCTATATCTAACTAGCTATCTATATGTATGTCTCTCTAGCTATCTATCTATCTATCTATACCCATCTATGGCACATCTATGTATGTCTTTATCCTTACACCGCAGCAATATTGTGCACTATTTCAGATGCATAGAAAGCGAGGTACGCATAACTGGAAATAATCTTCAATGACCAAAAGACCGTTATTTGTGGTATTTCAACTAGCATTCATACGAAAATACCAAAGCAGAGGACGGCATAAGGCCAGCAGGACAAGGCTAGATCGACTAAGCTCATCAACCACGCCATGAATTCTGCTATCTGTTACATGCCTTCTTAACAAACCTGTATACCCCAAAATCTCAGTTTAAATGAGTTTAGGGTATACGAAAAAAAATTATGGGAAACACCGCAGCAGCGTCGAACTTCTCTTGCTGTTGCTGCGGATCGAAGGTCGCAATGAGTGGCTCTATATATATATATATATATATGTATACATAATTATATATATATATATATATATATATATATATATATATATATATATATATATCCTACACTGCATATACATATATGTATGTCTGTGAGTGTTGGGCAGCGTGTTGCGCTGTTTACATAATATTTTCATGTATATTTTGCAGCTTGTACATATTTTTTAATGATTTTCTTCTTCTTCGTCTTCAACTTCTTCCCGGTGTTTTTATTTTTACTTTTCTCTGTCGGCCTGCTTTGGCAAACTTTGAAAGGCGACGCCGTATTACAACTCAACTTGCTAGGCGCTTGGCTGGCTCGTGCACTGTGGTTTTCTGTATGTGTGTGTGTGTGTGTGTGTGCCACCCCCACTCGGTCTGACTTGTGTGCGAGAGTGGGGGTGGGGTCCACACAGGGCATAATTGCGCTGCCGTCGAGGCAAATGAAAAACGCCTCGCAATATTGAAGCTGCGAACTTTTCAAGTGTAAGAAATTTAATTTCGAAATGTAGGTTTAACGAACGGAAATTGCTTTCGCTGCCTCAGAATGGAGTAAAAGCTCTTGCTGAGTATTGTTCTCATTCTCCCACGCACCGATACCCTTGGCCCACCCTCTCCGCCTGCCCTTGCCCACCACCGCTTTGGCCATTGTTGTCGGCGCAAAGGCGTAGAGCAACAGCGAAATTTGTACAAAAAGAGAAAACCAGAAAACAAAACACAAAATTTTCTGTATATAAATTCAGCTTTTTGCTGCGTGTTTTCATTTTGCAATTTGTTTGCTTAACTTTCTGATTGAGCTGGTGGCTCATTGCGTCGCATTACGTCAAAGAAAATGAAATTATTTAATGTTTTACATTTGTTCGATGGCTCCCAGAACCACCAGCAGCAATACCACAGAATATCTTCACCCTTGGCCTCATTTTTTGTGCATTACTTTTTATTGTTCACACTTTCTCTCTCTCTCACTCTCATTCTCTCTCTCTCTTTCACTTCAGGGGCCAGGCGGGCGCGTAATTGCGACTGATTTGTTTGGCATTTTGCACGGCCATTTATTTTCGTCATGGTCAGCTTGAGGCTCACCCGCCAGGATGTGGCCAGGCAGACAGGAACGAGGCACAGCGCGTTGATTGAGCCCATTGGGAATTCGACATGGCCAAAGCTGGGAAATGGAACTGCACAAAAATTTGACAAGCTGCCGTCCCACAATTTCTACAGAAATATATATATATATAATATATATTTATGATTCCCTGTATTTATGATTCTCTTTTCAAGTGAAATACTTAAAATGTTAAAATGCGCATAATTTTCAAAATCCAGAAGAGATGCGTAGCTGTTAATATGCTCGACTTTAATTATGTCAAAGTAATTAAAGTGTCATAAACACAAATGTTTTTCAGAAGAAGTGAAGAATTAACAACTTTGCTGAATAATAATGAAATAAAAATTTTATTTTTGTACCAAAGTTTTAAGCTAAGAATATATTTTCTTTATGGCATTCAAATTAAAATATAGCTGCTTGTTATACATATTAAATCTATTAAATTCAAGCAGAATCTAATTAAGGTCATATCTTAGAGCATTTGAATATTAGAGATACAAAATATGTATTACTCAATTTCGAATATTTATTTATTTATATTCATTTTTCAGGGAACTCAAGATGTGTCTCTATGGACAATATATAATGAAATTTGTTTCTATATAGTTATACAAAAAATAAAATAATAAATATAAATATATATATATCCTTCAAATAACAGTGGATTCTCAGATCCCTCCTTTTATTATTAACAGCTCCTGTGCTGGGATTTATTTTGCTTCGAAGTTGTTTTTCTTTATTTCGAAACATTAAGCAAATAATCTGAATCGAATTGTTTGACAAAAACAAGACTTTAATAATGCCGTAGTTAACGCTTGGCGCCAGTGAATTTTTCTGGCTCCCAAAATTGAGAAGGCCCATGAAAGGACGTGCGTTGTGCTACAATTGAAGTAATAACAATAAATACGGCGTAGATAGAAAAAGGAAAAAACGGGATCACAAGTGATGACTTGTAAATGTTGTGAAAATTGGGAAAAAGCGGTAACAGTAGTCTATAATATCTAGGGAGCTCTTGTTATTTTGATAAAAATTTTTACGTATTATAATAATCGGTTTAGTTAAGGTAAAAAAAAAGAATAGTAATAATAAATAAGTAAATAAAATAAAAGAGGTTTAAGAGAATTAAATTAAATATTTATATATATTGAATAAAAAATTTCAATAAATATTGAAATAATAAATAATAATGATTAAAAAATATATATTATTTCAAAAAAAAAAGAATAAATAAATAATAATAATAATAATAATAATAATAATAATAATAATAATAAATAAATAAATACAAATTTAAAAAACATAAAAAAAAATATTTAGAAATATTCTTGTTGAAAAATCTTTGATATTTTAGAAATACATTTTTTTAAATATATATATGTATTTTAAAATACAAAATACAAAACTGGAAAATGTTCAATAAATTTATATTACTCCATCAAAATTGCCATCACATCAATTTAAAAGTGTGCTCCACAGCTCCAAAGCTCCAGTATTTTAATTATAATTCAATCAATTTGTAAATGCTCTTTAAACAATTCATTATGTCTGAGGTATTTAGTCCGCAGCCATTTGCAAATATGGCCCTGAATTGTATGCAAGCTGCAGCAATATTTCGCTGCAACTTAATGGGGCAGCTGTAAAATATTTATGCTGCCATTACTGATAAATACAATGCATATATATTTAAAATAAGCAATACATCAATTTTATAATTTTTTTTAAATAAATATATTGATGAGTTTTTATTTAAAGCACGCAATTAACAGGGGCAATCGCCCATTATTATGCTGCAGCAGGCCATTAAACGTTTCGAGCCAAATACTTTGCCACATTATCGACGGGCCAAT